CATTTACCACCATCAGGAATGGATTGACAATTTCTCGAGTTTCTTCAACTTGCGTTTGTTCTCCAAGGCCAAGTAAGTCCAAATCTGTGATTCAAACTACGATTCATCCCAAAATTTTAGAAAACTCTGTTGCTTATCCAACAACTTATCGATTCAGAATTTTGGGAGAGAGAATCACGCCTCATTTGTGGTTTCCCTAGCTTGTGCGCCTCCACCTTCGAGACTGTATGTTTCTCTTCTCCTGCTGTATATTTCTCATTGGGGGAGTTAATTTTGTTTACCTTTCTTTTCGGTTCTGGTACAGGCCATTTTGACCCTTGGGAACGATGGGGAATCTAATGATCAAAAGAATGCTGAAGTTGATCCATATTGGTTTTAAATGATGATTTTTGACCTTTGTATTTTGTTCTTTCAATTTTTTTATTACATAAATGAAAAAAAATTAAAAAAGAAAAAAAAACCTCTCTCTCTCTCACTCACGCACTCACTCATTCACTCACTCACTCACTCACCGGTGGAACCTCTTATCTCCTCACGCCTAACCTATCTTAGAAAAACACACTCAAAAACACCCTAACTGCCACCACTATCCGCCATCACCGCCGTCGTCACCAACCTCCGCCGCCCTCTTCCTTTCTTCTTTTAACTCCCATGTCCTGAAACCCTAACGCTCAAATTCAGATTTGTTCTTGAAACCCTAACACTAGAATTCCTTACACCATAACATTCTCGATTATCATCTCCTGCGAACCAGAATTACTTCTATATGTCTTCCATCCATCCATCATATTTCTCCTTTGCGCCACCATGACCACGCAACCTTTGAATCAGATCTGATTCCCACACCACCATCTCTGATCTGTTTCAAACGCTACTTTTATGAAACCCTAGCACTCCCACCCTTCTCATCCAGAACTAGGGTTTTCATCTTCAAGATCTGATCAGAAGGCGTTGTCATTGGAAAAGTAGAGAGACGAAGTTAGGGTTTTCAGAGGCTGCGGCGGCAGTTGGAACGAGGGGGAGCAAGCCTAAAACCTAGCCGTCGCCACCTGCGACCCCCTACTAGGGTTTCAAGACACTTGTGGCGGCTTATGAAGATGCAATTCAGGCAACCATTTTTAGTGGCGAAGCAAACGTAAATTTTTAGGATCTGTTAGGATTTAACTGTCATGGCTTATGGCGTTCTCCCTCCCAAACGACCACCGCACCTAAAAACCCTAGTAGCAGCGGCTCTGAAAACCCTAGTTCAGGCGGCGAGTTGTGGTTCCCGTTACATGGTGTTTACTGGTAAGGGACGTTGGAGAAAGTACGAGGTGTTGCTCTAGTTCTGCAAAGAACATATGGCTTGGTCGGAGAAATAAGTGAAGGTTATGGCGGTGGTTTCTTGTAGGCGAAGGGTGGGGGCAGCGACGAACAGATCTTGCGAAAATGGTGGTCGTACGGTGGTCCTCTGGCATTCTGACAAGAAAATGGTGGTTTCGTGGGCGGTGGCGGTGGTCGTCCGGTAGGCGGTGGAGGTGGTCGTTCGGCGGTCTGATGTGTGTGTGTGTGTTTGGGGAAAAACATCAAAAATCTAATTTTTGTTGGATGTTAGAGAGAGAGAGAGAGGGAGAGAGAGAGAGAGTGAGTTCTCGAAATTTTATTTTTTTGGTATATTCACACAGAAATATACATAAATTTGATTGTTATAATTGTAATAATCATATCTAGTCTTTTTCCTTTTAAAAGGGTGTAACGATTGTAGACTTGGAAATATAAAAAATAAAATTATCCATTTATTGATTAGGACCTATTTAGCGGGATCCTCTAAAATATTTTGACCAAAAATTCTAATAATCTGCCAGATACCTTCCTCTTCCTCCGATCTGTAACTCTCGGACTGTCTCTCTTCGCCAGTCACACCGTCGCCTCCATCTCAGCCTGTGACCCCGCCTCGCCATCCCCGCCAACAACTGATTTGCGTGTTTTCTTCCTCTTTTTGACCCAACACATTGCTGACAACGCACATCTCTGGCTCGCACACTCTGCCTCCACCTCACAACGCCGCTTTCTTATCTTCCGGTCACTATCGATTTGTCGGCGTCGTAGATTCCTTACTGCCACCATCGATTCTACGGCGTCGTAGCAGGGCAGACAACAACCCCCACCACCAGGAAGGCCGAAAGGGAACATAAAATCTCCAAACTCCAGCAGCTAGCCCTACACCTCCACTCCTCCATCAGGTAATATGCTCGTTTATTTTTTCAGTGCATTTGAATTTCAAAGACTCGTTTTTTCTTCAATTTTCAACACATTGGAGTAGTCTGATCTTACAGTGATTGTAAAGTCTTTAGATTGGATTTCTGAATGCCAAAATTTTGTCCATATTATATTTTGCACCTGTCCAAAGTTTGTAGATCAATGAAGAAAGAAGGTGCTAGTGAACTATCTTATGGCTCTATTTTTGGACCTTCAAATGATATCTATAATGAGTTAGTATCACCATAACACTCTATATCATAATAGAGAGAGTAAGGTGTTATATTATTTTCATATGTTGTTATTTTGGCATTATATGTCTGCAGAATGGTTTCATTTGGAATTGAGGATTTGCTAAAGAAATATAGAGCAATAGAACCTTCTCAGTTTGTTGATATAATGTCCGTTGTTGGCGATAGATCTGATGATAACACACCATGTATGTTTTGGTTCGTATTGTGGGAATAATTATTGTTAGTTGTACTAGGCTTTATACTCATGTTAGGGTTTTTGTGTGTTCATATTGATATCTAGTTAACGAGAAGGTTGCATTTATTTCATCTGATAAAATTACTTATTCGCATGATCGCAAGATTTGATGGAATTGGGGATATACACGCAGTGCAACTAATCTCAAAATTTGGTATGTAAACTTTCACATCTCATGAATACATATTTTAAAATCTCAAAGTTTCCACATTTGTAAGGTTATTGTTTTCTTTTTTATTCGAGGTGTCATAGACAATGTTAGAACTCATTACTTATTTGGCACATTGGAGAATTTGCTGCAACATGTTGATCAAGTTGAAGAGGCACATTGGAGAATTTGCAAGCACAATTTCAAAGGCAATGCAAGTAGCAATGCAACGATGACAAACACAACTTGAAAAGCAATTCGAGGCTTTTATGTAAGAATTCATTAACCACCTAGTAATCCACCAAATGATTCTTAGTTTTTATGTTTTAAATACTTAGTAATGTATTTGACACTTTGAATGTATAAATGATGTTTATTGCAATGTTTATTTTTGGAAAATGATGTTTTTGTAACGTGTTAATCACTTAGTAATGTATTTGACATTTTGTAGTTTAATGTAATGAATTTTTACTTTATTTTGGCCAAGTTAATTGATTAATTTTTTATAACTTTTGTTTTTTTTTTAAGAGAAGGCATTTAGTGACGGAATACCTACAAAAAATCCATCTGTAAATAGGTCCGTAGGTATTCCATAGGAACAAAGTCAATTATAGTCAAACTTGAATTTCGTTGTTAGTTCGTAGGAAATCCGTAGCTAAACAGTCTCGTAGCTATTCTGTAAAAAAAAAGTCAATTTTGGTTAAACTCGACTCACATGGGTAATCTATAGGAAATCCGTAGCCATGTGTTTCCGTAGCTATTCCGTTGGAAAATAGACATATTTAGTCAAACTTCACACTCGTTGGCAATCCGTAGGAAATTCCGTAGCAATTCCTTTCCGTAGCTAATATGTAGGTATTATACCTACAGAATAAGCCGTAACTATTCCGTAGGTATAAATTTCCCACGCGCGTTTATGCTACATGCCTTTTTCCGTAGCAAATATGTAGGTATTGCCTTATACCTACTGAATACCTACAGATTGTGCCGTAGCTATTGCCCCAGTTTTCTTGTAGTGTCTCCCGAAAGATGTATATAAAAGCAGCTCCAATGCAAGATTTTGAAAAACGTTTTTATCTTTTAAATAGGTCATTTAAAGAATTATGACTTTCTAGAAAAAGGCTTTCTAAAGAACAAAAAATTATTTTATAAGTCATTCTCAAGAGATAAAAAAACTTTATACGAATTTATTTACATCAGGTGAAAAACATTTTTAGAGTATTTTTTACCTTTATCAATTTATTTACATCGGGTGAAAAACATTTCTAGAAAAAAACTTTATACGAATTTATAGTCAGCAAATACAATAAGTACTTATAAAGATTTATTCATTGAAGATCCTCTAATTTGACATGAAGTAAATGGCATAAGGTACACATACATCTCCTGAAAATGAAATGACATGACCTATATAACGGCAAGAAAACATTCATATCCTGAAAAATATACATATAAAGAAGGATCTTGTCTACACGAAAGCCATCTCCAAAAGCAACCCCAATAACTTTAAAACCTATCCATCAACAAATTTCCCACACAACCCATCCTGTCACTCCACAACTTCCGATTTTTTGTAGTGACTTAAATCTTTTGGACTACTCATTGAGGTTTTTAAAATGTAATCTATGAGAGGTGAAGATTCTCACATACTTTGGCATTTTGTAGTAATAATACGACTGAATTTGCTATTGCACACTACTCATACTTTGTAGTTATAACTAGTGATACTTGATTGATTATTCCAACATTTACGATGCTTGTTTATACTTACACATAAGCCTACTGGATAGAGGCTTTGCCTCTTAGACCAAGAAGTCCGGAATTCTAATATGGCGTTGGCGAATTCTACTAACTTGGTGATACAAATTTCTAACCACTAAACATTGGTTTAAAAAAAGTAATCAACTATAAGCTCCAAAAAACCAAAGCATCTTCCATAATTAAATACAATACAACTAAACCAAATTACATACGTGATAACACACGATATAATGCTCACTCCCACCTCTGTGCTTGCTTCCATCAACAACATACATGACAAAGGACAACAATACTAGATTATTATTCTGTCATCTCATTATTCTATACACACATATGCATCATCCTCACAAAGATATCATAGGATCTAATGATGTCCAGGAAGGTTCTCCTTGATCTTTTCCATCACCCCTTTTTTCTCGTGCGTTTCCCCTCCTTCCCCATAACCTCCACCACCAACTCCGCCTGTCGTTGAGGACACCCTTTGATGCTCGTCTGTTTTGTGACCACCGGGAAGCGTTTCTTTGATCTTCTCAGTCACCCCTTTCTTCTCGTAGGTGTCCCCTCCTTCCACATAACCACTATCAATGCCGCCTGCCGTTGTTGTTGACACCCTTTGATGCTCGTCCGTGTTTTGACCACCGGGAAGCTTTTCTTTGATCTTTTCCATCACCCGTTTCTTCTCGTGGGTTTCCCCTGCTTCCTCATAAGCGCCAGCAAAGCTGCCTGCCTTTTTTGTGGAGACCTTTTGATGATCGTCTGTGCTGTGACCACCAAGAAGCTTCTCATGACCTTCTTCGCCAGTTCCTGTGCCAATGACAACATGTACCTATATCGGGTCCATATCAACCCCCGAATCCATAATGACTCCGAGCCCAAATTGGCTCTCTCTATATATCATTCAATCATATCAAACATAGTCACATGATCACATACATATAACACATATAGATCAGTGAGCCGACATTGGTGCCTTCGATCCACTGGTCTGGTAAGAAGACTCACCTCCAAAAAGAAGATAATTGAACCACTCACTCGAGCTGCTGCTAACATGGTTACTCACACTAATCATATTCCAAAAATAATCCTAATGAATAATCAGGATTCTAACTCATAAAAAACAGTCCAAATATTCTAATATCCGAAATAAGGGTAAAAAGGTCATTTTCCCTTCCCATTCCTAGCCCAACTCCTAGTGGTCCAAGGCCCAAAAGGACGACCCAAATGCTGAATATGGGCAGTACGCCCCACGTTCAACCTGGTACGCCCCACATACAAGTGTCTGATGCAGAAGGAAAGACGGGGTCGAGGTTCAGTACGAGCAAGTACTTACATTTACACCCGGCGTACGCACTATTGTTCTGAATATTCTATTAAGGTCTTAATTCCTTAAGACCTAACGTCCAAACTCCAGATCTAAGCTCAATAAAGCGTCCAAGTCCATAAAGTTGCAACCTTTATGCCATTAAATGGCTACAAGGAGCCCAACATAAAAAAATCTAACTCCTTCAACCATTTACAACTCCATAACTCTTGCAGGGAAACAAACCAAGATCAAAGCTTGCATTTTATGACATAGAATACTCTAAAACGTTTGAAAGGACAGCTTAAAGGCTTTGGAGTATTACATACTCACAAAGATCTAGGTTTTTGTACATAAAGAGTGAAAATCTAAGCTTAACAAAGATCTAAAGACACATGCATCAAGGTTGGAGCTTTATACCTCCAAATGGTGCATAATGAAGAGAAAAAGTTGGATCCAAGGACTTGAGAGAAAAACCACTTCTTTGATGATCTTCCTTCACAAACAAGAATACATAAAACTCACTCAAAAGCTTCAAATATCACTCCCACGGCTAGGGTTTTTGATATTAGGGTGTAGAGGAATGGAGGCTGGAGGTAAGTACAAGTTTGAGGTCATAAGGATCTTTAAATAGGGTCCAAACCCTAAAAATTAGGGTTTTTTCTCAGCTTGCGTACGCCAGGAGTACATACACGTACGCCCAGTGTACGTGGTTGAGTCCGAAATCACATGAAAGGACCTACGCCTAGCGTACGGGCCAATCCTGCCAAGTTTTAATACATGAAGCTAAAGAGGAAATTACATGGAACACTGGTGTTACAAATCTACCCCACTTGAATCAGACTTCGTCCCTAAAGTCTGCAGCTGCAAACAAGTATGGGTAATGCTCCATCATCTCATCTTTCAGCTCCCACATGCACTCTGATCCTTTCCGGTGATGCCATTTAACCTTCACCAGATTCACTTCTGTGTTGCACAAAGCTTTAGTCTTCCGATAAATAATCGCAATCGGCCTCTCCACTAAGTTCAGACGCTCATTGACTTGAATATCATCCAAGGGGATCATTGTCGACTCCTCGGCTACACACTTCCACAAATGAGAGACATGGAAAGTATTATGGATCTGACGAAGCTCATCCAGCAAATCCAGCCTATATACAAGCTTGCCCAACCGGGCGGTAATCTTGAAGGGACCAATAAATCGGGGGCCCATCTAACCCTGCTTCCGAAATAGAATGAAACCTTTCCAAGTTGACACCTTCAAAACCATTAAGTCGCCCACCTGGAACTCAAGGTCCAAACGTCGCCGATATGCATAGCTCTTTTGTCGAGTTTGCGCGACTCGCAACTTGTCGCGCACCTGCTAAATCAACTCAATGGTCTTGAGTACTACTTCAATACTTCCCATGAAACGATGCCCGACCTCGCCCCAACAAAATGGGGTCTTACACCTCCTCCCGCACAACATCTCTAAGGCCGGTCGATTAATACTGGCATGATAACTGTTGTTTTAGGTGAACTTGGCCAGTGGGAGGCAAGTATCCCAAATCCCTACAAAGTCTAACACGCACATCCACAACATATGTTCGAGCATTTAAATCGTCCGTTCACTCTGTCCATCGGTTTGGCGATGATATGACATACTGAAATGCAGCTGAGTACCTAACTCGTCATGGAAATTTCTCCAAAACCTAGATGTGACATGATCATCTCAGTTCAAAACCATTAAAAATGGCACAACGTGCCGAACCACCACCTCCGGAATGTAAATGTCAGCTAGTTTCTTAGCTGATATACTCTCAAAAATCGGTATGAACTATGCACTCTTGGTAAACCTATCAACAATGAGCCAGATAGAATTATCTCCACATGATGTCCTTGGCAGCTTTGTGATGAAATCCATGGTAATCTCTTCCCATTTCCACATGGGAATGGGTAATGGCTGCATCTTGCCGCGGGGCCTCTGATGTTCGGCCTTGACCTTCCTACAAGTCATGAACCACTCTACAAACCACACTATCTACCTTTTCATATAGGGCCACTAATAACTCAGCTTCAGATACCGATACATCTTCATGGCCCCTGGATGGATCGAAAACTTTGACTTATGAGCCTCTTCCAGAACTGTTTGCATCATCCCACGAGTAGTCGGAAACCAAACTCTACCATACTGAGTTAACAACTCCCGACTTTCTCTAACAAATAAAGGGATCTGCCCCCTAATCCGCTCTGCTTTCCAATTCTCCTTTTTAAGTCCCTCCACCTAAGCCTTGTTGATCATATCCAATAGAGGCGAAATAATAACCATACTCAAAAAAATATCCCTGATAGGAGCACTTACCTCCTTGAGGATGAAAGCATGGACCAACACATTGGCCTTCCCAGGGTGGTACACGATCTCATAATCATAGTCCTTTACCAAATCCAATCATATCCGCTCTTGTATATTTAAATTTGGCTGATCCGTCAGGTACATCAAGCTCGTGTAGTTAGTGTAGATAGTATACGTGATCCCATACATATAGTGCCTCCAAATCTTGAGCGAAAAAACCACAACCCCCAACTCCAAATCATGCGTAAGGTAATTCGCCTCATGAGGCTTTACCTGCCTCGAAGCGTAAGCAATCACATGTGCCCCTACATAAGGACAACTCCCAAATCCGATATAGAAGCATCACTATAAACCATAAAATCATCCATACCCTTGGGACGCACGAGAATCGAGGCCGAACATAGTCTCTGCCTCAGAGTCTCAAAACCCAACTACTGATCGGGCCCCCACCGCAAAGTAACATTATTTTTCGTCAAGCAGGTCAATGACATAGAAATCTTGGAGAAATCATGTATAAATCTCTAATAATACCTCGCGAGGCCTAGAAAACTCTAAATCACAGATGGGGGTTCTTGGGAATTCCCAACACATCACAACGTCAATCTTGAATAGATTGACCAATATACCCTTCTGGTTGACGATGTGCCCCAAGAACTCCACCTTCTGCAACCAGAACTCACATTTGGAGAATTTGGAATACAACCTTTCTCTCATCAGGGTCTCCAATACTTCGTGAAAATGTTCTTCGTGCTGCTCCTTGGTCTTGGAGTAGACCAGAATATCATCAATAAACATAATTACCGATCGATCCAACATCAGCCTGCATACCCGATTCTTGAGATCCATGAATGTTGTCGGTGCATTGGTGAGCCCGAATGACACCACCACAAACTCGTAATGAGCATAATGAGTCCTGAAGGTTTTTTTTGTACATCTTCGTCTCTGAACCACATATGATGGTAGCTTGATTGCAAATCAATCTTGGAAAACCAAGATGCACCCTGAAGCTGGTCAAATAAGTCGTCTATCCTCGGAAATGGGTAACAGTTCTTCACCGTTATCTTATTCAACTCCCGATAATAAATACACATCCTATACGAACCATCCTTCTTTTTTACAAAAAAGATTGGCACTCCCCAAGGCGAAACTACTCGGCCGAATAAATCCCTTGTCTAGCAGCTCCTGAAGCTGCATTGACAAATCCTGCATCTCTGGTGGTACCAAACGAAATAGTGATTTGGCTATTGGAGTCGCACCACGCACTAGATCAATCCATAGCTACACTTCCCTCATTAGGAGGCACTCCTGGCAACTCCTCAAGAAATACATTGGGGAAATCCCGAACAATGGGCACCTCACTCATTACCGAGTGCCCTCGACCAAAGTATCTACCACTTATGCCAGGAACACAGAATAACCCTGCAGAAGATATCTCCTGGCTCTCACAGCTGAACAGAGAGCAGCCCATGCTAAATCCTCTGACTAGGAATAACCAGTTCTCCCTACTTGGGTTTCGAACTCTTATTAACTAGTGCTCATAGTTAATCATGGCCCCAATAGGGTCTAACCAATCCATCCCGATGATAACCTTCGATCCCTGTAGAGGAAATCGACACCAAATCAATAGAGTATCTACACACCCACGATGAACCTGTTGGATTAGATGTCTATGCCCATAAGTATTATTGGTATGTACTTGACTCGAGAGTAGCATGGTCCATTTAGGTTGCATATCATCAAGACAATTTGTTAGGATAAACTCTTGAGAGAAGGTTATGTATGATTTCTTAATATATTGTAAGTTCTAATATATTAAATGAAATCATATGTTTTAATTAGTATTGATCAATAATTAATTTGGTTAAATTTAGTGACAAAGAGACAAATTAATCTATGGGGACTAATTATGGTTATTAGTTATATTTTAGTGTGTTGGGCTTGTGATCCATGTTGGACCAAGTTTATGTATGGATACATAAAGAGTTGGGCCACATGAACCATGGATCAAAAACCCATGGGTATGGGTTTGGATTAACCCATAACCTTTGGAATTCCACATATAAATATGTTAGTTCATAGCCAAAATCACCACTAATGTATTCTTGGAGGATATGGACGATTTTGGTGTGTATGAATTCTCTTTCAAGTTTCATCCTTTATCCATGATGTGTTGTGACTTTATTTGAGGCTTCCACACTATTGGTGCTAAGCTCTTAAGGCCAAATGCATCAAGACTTCAAGCTATAGAAAAGGTATGTTACTCTAACAAGTATCTTATATGGTATATGACAATTGCATTCTAGTTATAGGATCAATGACTTGGAAACCCTTTGCATGTATAATTAGTGAAAACATAGATCCAAGGTATTTAGGGTTGTATGTACACCATAGGATGTTGTAGCATAGGAAACCCAACAG